ACCTAAAAAGGGATGGCCTCCAACCTAGTAGCGATGGCCTCCACCCTGAAAGCGATGGCCTCCACCCTGGTAGCGATGGCCTCCACCCCAGTTGCGACGGCCTCCACCCTAGTAGCGATGGCCTCCACCCTAGTAGCGATGGCCTCCACCCTAGTAGCGATGGCCTCCACCCTGGCAGCAAAGGCCTCCACCCTAGTAGCGATGGCCTCCACCTTAGTACCGATGGCCTCCACCCTGGTAGCGATCACCCTGGTAGCGACGGCCTCCAGCCTGGCAGCAAAGGCCTCCACCCTAGTAGCGATGGTCTCCACCTTAGTAGCCATGGCCTCCACCCTGGTAGCGATCACCCTGGTAGCGACGGCCTCCAACCTAGTGGCCATTGCCTCCACCCTAGTAGCGATGGCCTCCACCCCAGTAGCGACGGCCTCCACCCTAGTGGCGATGGCCTCCACCCCAGTAGCGACGGCCTCCACCCAGTGGCGATGGCCTCCACCCTGGTAGCGATGGCCTCCACCCTAGTAGCGAAGGCCTTCACCCTGGTAGTGATGGCCTCCACCCGGTAGCGCTCTGGTAGCGATGGCCTCCACCCTAGTAGCGAAGGCCTTCACCCTAGTAGCAATAGGGATGGCACCAAAAGAACACACATCTATTACACACAAAACTCTAGCTGTCGAAAGGCGCTGGAAGCGACCAATGCGACAAACATGCGACCGTTACGATGCACTCGCTTTTTCGGCACCTCATCGCTCGTCGCTTCAGCATCCTGGAGCCATTGCACACGACCTGTTGCATAGCCTGAGATCTGTCGCTTCCTCATAGAAAAGGCTGTTTGACGGTTCAGCTGTGATCGTTCTTTGCTCCAAACTTGCAAAGACTACTATAAGGTTGACTTCTGGAATTTCAGAGCCAGTCACCATCTTTCTCGCCCCACTCCAACACCTGTCCAAGGCGGCTTTCAACGCAGTCTTGATACAAGCTCAGATCAGCTAGATTAGCCACAAGGGAAGCCAAAAAGTGGAAGCAAAAGAAAAAGATTTGAAGTGAGTGTATAAAAACCGACTTCAATCTACGGCTAGCGACACGTGAAAAACAGGACCACTACTCAGGGGCGGTGTTCTTTCTTTGTGCCCACAGGGCCTGGAACCGGCGAGTGCCTATGGTTTTGATCTGCGAGCGACCATCTGGCAACCTGCCACTAGTAGGTTCTTGTTCCCGGTAGTATCGCCGGAAGCTACTAGTAGCGTCCTTGCTCCTAGTAGCGATGCTCTTGTTACTAGTAGCTTCTTCTTCCTAGCAGTAATAAGATAAGCCCGTGGTTTTCAAGGCAGAGAAAGGTCACCAGCCAAGGCTCTGTTTAAAGCTCTGGATATGAAGCATCGTACCATACTGAGCACCTGGGAAAAGGCCTCGATTTCAGGAGGATTGCTTTAACGAATGTCCGAATCGCATTGAATGGCTCAAATGTGCAAAGGAAAACTGGTGCGAGAAAAAAGTCAGCACAGTGGCAAAATACGGCATCTCAGTGGGAAGCAATATGCGGCATGAGTTTTACCGGGATACATTCTTTGTCACACGATTGATTGCAAGTGTCTATGCCTCTGTCCTCTCATCCTCGACAAAAGTTGTCTACAAACGTTTACTTCTGTCAGGCTCAGTTGACACGGCTGTCAGCCCGTTTTGATTCGAATGACCACGGATGAACCGTGCACCATGGCCAAGCGGCACATGCCGAACTGCCGCTGCCCAGAGTCGATGCAACGACGCATCATCAGCCTCGCTCTCGCTTAGACTCGCATCTTCATTTCGCCCCGGAATCTGTCAAATCCTCCAAATCAATGCATTAGAGTTTTTTTTGACAAACTACCGTAATCCCGTTCCTCCGGCCACGTATCCTTCTCACCGCCCTGCCTGTAGCGTGGCTCGAAAATGTGCAAGGGGCATGCAACCTAAGAGAGGAGAGAAGGCTGGAGGACATGTAAAGCACCTCTCGAAGTCTGAGATGTCCTTTTTTAGCCCGCTCCCCCCCTCCCTACTTAATTAAGTAGGCACCTACTTAACTAACGGAGTAAGCTACTAGGCCAAGTTATGGATGCAGGATAGCTCACGCTTCTCCCCCCGCCCGAGGGCGGAGAGCTTCCTTGAAGAAGCGCTCGCTCCAATGATTTGGTTCCTATTCTTTTTGGGAAACTTATATAACATGATATAACTAGCCGCTTCTTGCTCCTAGTAGTAAGGCCAGGAGCCCCTAGTAGCGTCCTTGCTCCTAGTAGTGATGCCCTTTGTTCCTAGTAGCTTCTTGTTTCTGAGACTTTGAAGGATACAAGTCAAAAAGGTGGCGCAGGTCAGTTGCAGCTGTAAGTGAATTCGGCAAGCAGCTGCTGGCATAGCCATTGAGCAAATGAAGATTGGAACCTTGGACACCAAACATCAAACTGAATATTGCAATGTTTTTATCCCACACTGGCTCACCTTCAGTCAGTTTGCGTCTTGTCGATTCACAACTCATAACGACTCGTCACGATTCGACCAGGAAAACTCTCGATTCTCAGCAAGGCTCCACAGGTGCATCAGGGCTTCCGGCCGCCTCAGCCTCAGCCTGAGCAATCTGGGCAGTACGCTCGCTGTTCCTCGGCAAACCAACTTTAATACAATCTGTCTTTCTTCAACCTTAAAGATCCTGAAAAAAAAAGACAGAGCTAAATCGTTCGAAGATTGAAGCGTATTCGATCTCAGCATCTCTTCCGGGAAGTGCCGTTGAATGATTGCAGAGATCTTCCGGTTCACCTTGACCGATCACTCAGCATTGCACTCACGAGCTCTCGGGCAACAAAAGGAAACGGGGAAGCAAACGAGCAAACGAGCTCTCTTTCTGCGAATTGGTGTGATGTGTTGCAAACACCAACAGGAACCGTGAGGACCATCCACTAAATATGACTCAATCTATAGCAACGTAGGCCCGTGCTTGCGCGTGCTGAAGCTGAGCGCTTGAAGCTGCCGAGCAGCTGGTATCTGTGTTCCACCATGGACTAATGCTCCATTCGCCTTCCAGGTGCCAGCATTAAGCCAAGCCTGAAAATCCATCCACACAGCTCATCTGTTGCATTCAGACATTAGTTCAGCGAACATTTTGTCTAATTATGGATCTTCTGAAAAATCCTCGCTCGTCAGATTGACTCATCATGTCCTGCCCATTTGCGACATGAAGTGAGTTCATTACGATGGCCTCCAACCTAAGAGCGATCGCCTCCGCCCTACTAAGGATGGCCACCAACCTACTAGCGATGGCCTCCAACCTACTAGCGATGGCCTCCACCCGGCCTCCGCCCTACTAGCGATGGCCTCCGCCCTACTAACGATGGCATCAGCCCTACTAACGATGGCCTCCAACCTAGTAGCGATGGCCTCCACCCTACTAGCGATGGCCTCCTGTACTAGCGATTTCTAAGTTCAACGAGGGGCCAAATATCCTGATAGATCTGCCCGACACATGGGGCAGCTGGGTGCCGTGTCGAAGGCGTGATCCAAAGTGCGAGCCAGGCAGGGACGGCCTGAGGCGAACAGGAGACTCGACAAACGAAATGTTGAAGGCTATTTGCACCACTATGTGTTGGTGGCTGCGGCTACGGGTTTGCGTACCTTCGTCGCTTGAGCCTCACCTCAATCCCCTTTTACAAGGTACTGCACTTGACTAAGCTTCCACATAAAGGTCATTCATTCACAAAACGAGTGCACCTTGGGTTGAATGTGGTTGGATCCAGGTTGGCATTGGCATTGAGAGCTAGAGAAAGGATCGTAGAAGCTATACGCTAAACAGCTTCAAGGCATTCCTCTCCCGTGTCCATTGTCCTTGCATCCCTTTGTCCTTTTGGTTCTTCTCCTTCTTCACTGATGCCTTGTTCCTTTACAAATTCCTGCCTAAGCACCTTTGTCAAACATAGTACATCTTCCTTGGCGTGTTGAGACGGAAATCCGTTGGAGCAACTTGGTCAGGTCCAAACCACCCGAGCACACTGGGACAGCTTCTTCGCTTTGGTCTAGTCGCACAAGGTGTGGCCACATGGAATGGAGGATGGCTCCCAAAGCCTTGGCGTCTCGAGTTCCGTGAACATCATGAAAAGCTTCTTGATTTCAAAGGCGACTGGCAAGTTCAAAGTGCCGAAAACTTGAAAAATGGCGTCGGTCAGCGCCACTTTCGCCAGGTCACAAACCCAAACACAGTGGACATTCCAAGTGATTCCTCAGCCATTCCTGACAGAACGAAGATGGGATGGTTTCTTCGCCAAAATACGCGTCTAGCGATTCGTGGTACGAAGCCTTTGGCTTGAACTGCACTTCAGGGCCTGGTCATTGTGAAAGTTAAACTTTGATGCTCCAGTCTCCATGAACTCCGGGAGCCCCTCCTTGACACCACAAAATGCACAAAACACAATCTGAACAAGAATCATGAGCAAAGACAACGTTTGCAGGTTGGTTGTCCAGCTTTGTCAGCTTCATTCTAGAAAAATGCCTAGAGTTTCTCCACTTTGGTTTGTTGAGACAGCCCCATGCAGACAGCTTGATGGGGCGGGCCTTTGAGATTGGGCCAAGGGCTAAGCGGCTAAGGATTGAATGCTGATCTGTCAAACTGTTCGGCTCAAGATGGCCTCAATGGGAGGACATCTGCCATCTTCCAGCCATTTCTTTACCTCCAAATGGCCAACAGAAGTGATTCTGTCATCTCCATTCAGTGCCCGCCTTCTCCAGCTCAGTCCTGGATCTTGTGGACAGCGAGTGTCGAATCGAAAGTCTAAGCTTGGAATGATACAGGGATCCTGACAGGATCTGGTCTCACAGGCTTGTCCTGCACATCGAAGAACAAAGCTCTTGGAGCCCATCCTCGGCACCTTCAACCAGTCTCTTTCACAACTTTCGTAGACCCCCAGGATCATGGATCAATCACTAAACAGCCAAGACTGGCCTGCTCGAGCAAGTGCAAAGGTGGCTAGAGCCATCTGTCCTTCCTGCTTCAAGGCTTGCCCCAAACGTAGCCAAGCCTAGCTTGGCGCAAAAGCCGGAGGTGTGTGGGGGGGGAATTCAATAATTGCTGTCATAAATAGCAGTGCTGTTTCAAAAGGCCAAAAACAAAAGGCAAGGCATCACCAGGCATCCATGCTGTGCCTTGCCTTGGCCAACATGGCACTTCCAGAGCGGCGTAGCGCTCCTGCCAAAGCCATCTGTGCATCTGCCACCGCACCTGTACTGTCCTTGGTTGACCCGCTCACAGAACGGTGTGAGAACAGAGCAAATTCCGCTCAAACAAAGCAATCCATGCGTTGCGACACGGTTCTTTTGACATCAAGGATCTTCCAGCTTCAATCGTGCAAGTGAGCGATTGCAAAGCACAACGATATCCGGGGAACTGGCCATAGCTTCGGAATAGGCCTTCGGAATAAAGATTCCAAGATTCCGAAAAGGAAAGAAACGGGGGCATCATGGGGCATCTGCGTTTGCCTTCACACTGTCTCTTTTCTCGTTCTGTCGATTGTCTCGTATCTCTTCAGATTTCCCGCTTCCGCCAATCCTGCTCCCCCAAGTTGTTTCCCATTGGCCCCTGTCTGCACCTCGGACGCCTCAGCATACTTACCTTCGCCGAAGAGCCGATTGCCTTCGGCCGCCAGACTCAGTGGACTCCAACCTACTAGCGGCCTCCAATCTGCTAGCGAAAATGGTTTGGTCATCCGCTAAATCCGATGCATCGGTCGGACTGAACCAGATCCATGCGCTCCCCACGCAACTTGCTAGCTATTCACTCATAGGGAGTATAGGTGGGGGATGAAGGCATGAATCAGAGCAATGTGCAACAACCAGAGAAACTTCTTTACTACGCCTTCTCACAGAAGCTAAATCTCAATGACAAATGAGCAGGTCACAACTTACCCTGCTTGCACCATGATCAGGGAATCCATCGGCAAGACGATGCCTCATGTGATGTAGGACTTTCCATTTACAACAGGAACACTCTTGGAAGTCAACTTGTAAGGATTGGCCAAGGGTGATTGGATGTGGTTGAAAATGTCCCAAGTCCCGAGCATCAGAACGCTGCAAGGAGGGTTTCATTCGGTTTCATCCGACGCTCGAGCCTTGCTGTCGTGCCTGAGCAGCCTCGGCCAACGCAGGGGGGGCAGCGGCCCAACAAGTCACTCAAGATCACCTCAGTACTCGGTCCACGCTGCGCTACTCACTTCTACTCACTTCTACTCACTCTTCAATGGTCACGATATGGAGAAAAACGAATCTACATTATCATGGTAACGACCCATCCTGGTGTGATAAATGCACCAAGTGGCGTTGGCCGCGCTTCCAAAGCCAAGCCTGACATGCACGGAGTTTTGTGGACTTGAGCCAAGCCTAACACAAACAATGTAACAAAACAAGTGCTAAATGCTCCACTGAGCGCTTCAGGGACCAAGTCTCAAGTCTTGCCAAGTGCCAAGTGGCTTCTCCTTGTTTTCAGGCTCAGGTAGAGCTTGTGCCAGTCGCCGCTTTTTCACGCAGGGGCGACATACTGTGAGGCCTCGAGTTGGGTGTGGTGGTTCGACGTCGTTGCAAAATATTTTGTGCACGGAAGAACAGTTAATGAATGTTGAAGACCTCTATAAAAGCCTATGAAACGAAAATACAAATGTCCAACGGTCTGAGAAACAAGGATGCAAAAACATAGAAATTTATGAGAGTAAGAAATGCACCTTTGAAACACGGCACTAAAGTTGACAGAGTGGAAACGTACCTTTCACATGGCTCCAAGCACCTTCTTAGACTCTGGGCGGCCGTCGGCGGCCGTTACTGTCTCAGTTTGACTCTGGCAGATCAATGTGGTGAATCAATTGAGGCCAAGTAAACGTGGAAACATTGGAAGTATATAAATCACCGCACTGGAACCGGAAGTACATCAGAACTTGCAGTCCATCAATGAGTTCAGCTTGCAAAAGACCGCGGAGTCAAGTCCCAAAATACCAATTGCAGCGGCCTCCATCTTCAACAGAGTCAGGAAAGCTCAAGCCAAACAACACCAACCAGCAGACAATATTAATCTTAATCACTGTCTTGTCGTGGTAATTGGTCGTCTTATCGTGCTAGCAGGTGTCTTGCCAGGTTGACTGCTGCCTGGTCGAGGGATCAAACCTTCCTTCTACTTGGGCTGCGGCTGCAGCCTGCCCTGCAGCCAAGCATCCATCTTCCAATGTTGTGGGTTCAAACAACAAGCTTTCACACCTGGTTCTGCGGTCACCGACTACACGGCATTAAAGAAACCCACACAAAATACTGAGTTTTGAACTCAGAACCTTCAGAGGACAAGTCCACTTGGAAAGGCTTTTCTGAATTCTAAGCCCAAGGGGCAGGCCATAAAGGTAGGCCAAAGTAAGCTAGCAAGTTAACATTGAGCTTAAGAAGCTACTAACGATCGGATGCAGGAAAGCTCAGGCTTCTTCAAAGAAGACCTTGCACCATTCATGTGGCTGCTAGGATTTTGGGGAAACCGATGCAAGCTGTAACTTTAAAAAGTAACAAGTTCAAAAAAATAACAGGTGTTATTTTGCCAAGACTCTGCATGCAATCCAGCTCTCCAAGGAAGTCGGGGCCATCAGATGCTTTCGGAGAGCTGTGCAGGCTGTGCAGAGTTCTTTCCTACACACCATGGAAGATGCCGAAGATGCCAGAAAGTTGAAAGTGTAGGCTGTACTACGAATGTCTTACAACGAGACTAGTGTTTGCAAACACTTGGAACTTGCGCTCGAAACCTCTATTGTCCAGAATAAAATCATAAAGGAAGACTTCATCATCTTCATCCGAGTTCAAGGAGAAACCGCCTTGGCCAGTTGCAGGATCTCAGCTGTGAGAGTCTGGCCGTCTTGTCCGTCAGCGCCGTGCGATGCCTCGACCGACATCTCCAGTTATCTGATCTTCCACGAAACACCGTCTGATGCACTTGCATGCATGGAAAAGAAAAGACTACAAATACTGGGGCACATGTTGCGAGTGTAACATATTGTGAGTGGTGAAAGTAAGGAAAACACATGACTTGGATAGCACACATAGGGGCTTGGCCTCGCACTGTTCAATCACTTCTGTTTTGTTTGCTCTCTCTCCCTTTGTTTCACTTCTGACTTGGGGCAGAAACGTCTGCTTCTGGCTGCAGCTTTTGCGGCGGAGTGGGCTCAGCCTCGCGGAGAATTTTGTATATATGTATATATTTGTAATCTCAATGCGAGTGAGAGAAGAAAGAACGCTCGTTGTTCGAAAAGCAGTCTTCTGATGTCTGAATAGTGGAATTTGGATGTCGTGGAATTGCCTCTTGCCGACGTGACATCGAGGCGGAAGAGGAGCCCATTGCGGTGAACCTTCCGATGTCGCCAAATGTTGCCAAGCCGCCAAGTCGCTAAGCGTTGGATGTCGAAACCAAAACGAAGCGACGAAGTGTGTCGAACTATTGGATATCAATGTCAGAAATGGTTCCCTCCAATCAATTATCTCTTGTGCCACATAGGAAGCACCATGTCATGATTCTTTGTTGAATTGGAGTCTACTACACTTGAGCCTAGCTCCCTCATGACATGTACACCTGTACAATGTCGAAACTCTGGAACGAGGCTGACGAAGTTCCACTGAATTCCATGAAAACTCTGACAAGAACACACAAAGCTCTCGATCTCCATTCTCCACAAAGAAAGGAGCACAGAGGGCTGAGGACTGCTGACAGTGCACTCGCCCTTATTTTCGGCAAAGGACTCCAACGCCCCATTGGCAGGAGGAGACTCGCAGGAGGCAAGTTGAAGATTTGCACAACTGTGGAAGCTCAAATGACCAGTCTTCGTTGTTCTTGGAATCACTCCATGCCCCATACTTTCTACGATATATATATATATATAAATATATGCGCTTCAAGCCATAAATGGACCATCGCAGGTTTGAGAGTCCGAGAGGACATGAAGACTTGAAGAATGCCGAGACAATCTTCCCCAAACCTCCTGCTTAAGAAATGCGCGCTCCGGCCACACAGGCCACCCCCCCGGGAACACACAAAGACCCTCCAATCGAACGAATGAACACTCCATGTGCAGATTGTGAACTCTCCATATTTGGAGAGCGTGTATTTCTGAACAAATCTTCTTTTCAGTTCATTACTGTAAAAAACGAGAAGTAACGGATATCGAACGATATTGATTTCGCAATCAACAGCTGGTTGAAAAAGGCAAGGTCCATGCTGGCATGCCCCTACCCCGGAGGGGCTTTGAATAGAGAGGATGCTGTGCTGCCAAAAGTGGCACTGCAATGGCACAACTGGCCAATGAAAAGTTGACGAATATGAGGAGGGCATCGCGGTGTCATGGCATGACGTGATGAGCTTGATAAATACTTACAAGACATTGAATAGATTAAATATGATTGATGAATGACCGAATAGATTGCAATAGCAAACCTGCAGACAGCGCAGCTACCCAAGTTTGGTCGATGAAAAGAAACCAAACGATGGTCGCATTGCTTGAAGATCCCGCTATCGTCTTGTTTTGGATATTGGGCCGTTTCCGGTGTCTTCTACGTGGTCTGTCGGGCCATTGCTCAGATCGCCAGGTCAGTGCTCTCCGCATAGTCCAGGCCTCAGCATTGAGATGACCGAAGTGGAGAAAGAAATTCTATTTATATATTGTTTCTACTGGCTTTGTTCCTAGTAGTAAGGCCCTTGCTCCTAGTAGCGATGCCAGGAGCCCCTAGTAGCGTCCTTGCCCCTAGTAGGACAAGTGGAGACTTTGTCCGAGACTTTTGCTGTCATCCTTTGTCCGTCTCAATCTCGGTGCCGTGACCCATTTTGATCTCAGCTTGAAGAATCGATTTTGCTTCCTTTAAGCGCTCCTCGTCTCAACTTCTTTCAAGAGCGAAGGGAGCCGCGCCAAAGGTTCACAAAGAAGAAAACGAAGAGGTTCATCACTGATCGATAATTTCCAAATGTTTGCATACACGCATATCATATAGCAGTGAGTCTTACACATCATCAACTTGATTGAGGATTTTGCTGAATTCATGTGAGAGGTGGGCTTTAGAGGAACAGTGTGTTGTTCCCACAAAGGACGGCCTTTTGGTGAGGGCCCAAGGCTTGGTGAGTGTACCCATGTCCAAAAATAACCCAATAGTAAGGACGCTACTAGGGGCTCCTGGCATCGCTACTAGGACCAAGTTATTTGATCACCCCCCTCACGGGCCTGAGAAAATCATGTGGCCGATTCATGGTGGTCGCGAGTCCAGAAAGAGGGATGCAGAGCACATAAAGAGAATTCAGTCCTTCTCGTAGTTGTCCAGACGTGGCAGCTGGTGCACCTAAGAATCTCAGGATGCCAATGCTTGGGCGGTTCTACACCCAAAGAGACAGTTCGAAAGGCGCGTTAAACATTGTGCATTGACATGTCTTAAATGTTGCTCAAGTGCTTGCTACTGGGCTATTAGTGGCTCTCCTGCATAGCCGCTCTGCAAACATGTGAGAGTAAGCAAACAAGCTTTAAAGCAAAATTCTTCCAATATCAAAGTCCTGGGCACACGGTCAACGCCCCGAGGCCCAAAAGTGACCGGTGACGCAAAGTACGGCAGCTCCGTGACATTGGACCTGTGCCGTTCAGATTCGTTCGTTTGAGACACTCCGTTTGGTTCTGGGTAGCAGTCGTTGGCACATGGACATAGCAAGGGGTCTTCCGGGCGTTCCTTTGTAAAGAATACTAACAAGAAAGCCTTCCTTCTAGGTTGCAGGCCATCGCTGGTAGGTTGGAGGCCGGGAGGCCATCACTAGTAGGTTGGAGGCCATCGCTTCCAGGTACTATATACCCTGGTCAAGAAAGTTTTCTTGGACCTTATTGTTAAATAGTCCTTCAGCTCAGTGGCTTGACGAAGGCGCACTCCTTAGTCCAGATCCCAGACGTGCTGAAAATGAGCCGCATTCCGTATCGCATACAGAAAAGAAATGAAAAAGAAGGTGTGATCAGGCCTCTTTCATAAGGCCCCCCAAGAACGAGAGGGGCCTCATTAAAGAGGGCCCAATCACACCTGCTGGAGACAATAAGAATATCATTATAGATGTTTCCACCAGCATTGGAACTCAAGGAAGAAAAACAACATGCTGAAACTGTTTCGGGTCTATGCTGGTATAGTTTGTTATTTAATGTTCTTTTGAATTCTCCGTCTTTTTCCAACTCTGCTTCGTCATTCGTTCAGGTAGTGAAGGCCAAGAGCAAACTTTCTTGAAAGAGAGCAGGCCGGTCTTTCTTCACCTTCTTCACTTTCTCTGTTTTAACGCTTTAAACATAAGTAAGTATTACAGTAAAGCATAATCTTGAAGATTTGGTGCTTCCCGTCTCTCTTCTTTCAAACTTCTAGACTCTAGGCCGGTCGTTTGTTCTTTCATCTTTCCCTTCTGTAGCTTTCTCGCTGCAATCTGTCATAAAACGTGGAATGAGGAGGATCGGAGGAACGATTTCATCAAGCTCAAGTGCATGGACAAGGTGTGTCGTGTTGGAGCGCTGCCACTAGCCCCGAGTGCGCTCACAGTCTGAGCTTCGAGCTACACTAACGTCACTAAGGAGAGGTCCTTTAAAAAGGAGCTTGTGGAGGCGGAAAAAACAAAGCACTGTTTTGGCTGCTCTGGGTATCTGGCCGTGGTGCGATTTCCCGCCAAGCCATTTAGCACAGCACTGCCCAGCAAGTACCCAGCATAACCTCAACATCTCAGCTACAGCAAAACAAACGCTCAAAGTTCATGCAATTCAGATTGAGAAGGGTTGGAGGCGATTGAAACCCTGTCTTGAAAAATGAAAAGGCCGGGCCCGGCCTAGTGAGAGTGTGGCGCTGCCCTTCCCACACTTCGCACGCACAATTTCTGCTCCTGACCGTGGGCCACGAGCACCGAGCGCATCGAAAAATTCTCTTGACCGATGGCCTCCACCCCACAAGTAGCGATGGCCTCCAACCTAATAGCGATGGCCTCCAACCTGATAGCCTCCAACCTAATAGCGACATTGTTGCAATATCAAAGCTTGGAATACAACTTGCAGTCGCTATTGGCTAGCCGAAGCGCAGACCAAAGATCCCCACTCCGCACAGCCTGCATCTTGAACTCGGACATCCAATGACTTCCGGAGCTCCAGCGAGAGATCAGCACAGGCTTTCTCCTCAGGTGCAACTAGGTGGTCTCGTTCCATGAAGCATTGTGAGACAAGGCGGCAAGTTCTGCATCACTTTGGAGCAATCTTTCACGCGAAAAAATACCCGGATACCCCTTGTCCCTTTTTCAAATTCCTCAGCAAGCACCTGTCCTGTGAGAAAAGCGGCAAGACTGACTTGCCGGCGTGTCCGCCAATCACAGGCCTCAACAAGTGTGCCAAAAAAGAGCTTATCAGCACGGTGGCAACCATCGAGCGGATGAAGAAGTGTCGTTTGTTCCCCTTGGCACCCCCACACGTTTATGGAATCCACCGGCGCGCCAGTCGCTTCGAAGACAAACTTGTTGGCTCGGACCACATCCAGCGTAGTGACGCCTCGTTGATATCCATCGAAAGTGCTGAGGGAACGGAAAAGCATATTTCAATGATATCGGCATGTTTGGATAAAAGTAAGTTGGACCCCTCAGAAATGTACAATTTCCAAAATACAATAGACTATGCAATAAGGTTAAACATCCTACAATAAACTACACAATAAGTATCTAGAGTCCGGCTCATTCGGCTACGCATCATCTGGCGTGTTGGCTTGGGCATGAATGCCCTTTCCTTGCGCGCTCGCTCTCTCTCTCTCTCTCGTGAAGCAAACGGTGCGGGCGGTTGCCATGGCCAAGCGACTTGAATATATTGTTTAAAAACATAAGAGCCTTTGTCATCCTCAAGCTTTTTGCTGGGAAACTCAACATGCTCAGAAGCATTTTGTCTAGAAGTTCAAAGTAGAACACAGTGTGCTCATCCAAAACGTGCTCTTCCTGCAGCTGCTAACATATTTGCCTTTGATCTAGGAAGGTCATCTTTCAACCATGCGAAGGGTGCAGGAACGACAGTGTGCAACCAGCTATCCTACCTCTAAACCTATCCAAACTGACCGCTTTTTCAAACAAGTACACATGTCCAAAGGGCATTTATGCTAGCATATGCGTTGGCGTGAACTCCGGGCGTGAACTCCGGGCCACTAAGCATACTAAGCTCCCAACCGATGATCCTCCTGGGATCCAAGCCTTTCTTCTCGTAGAGCCTTGAACAACAAAGAAATGAGTAGGAAAGTCATGCAGCAACCAGTATAAGGATTCGATTGACATCTTCTGCAATCTAGGTTGTGGTTGCACATTCTCCGACAGTCGCAAACTGCAGGAGTGGAGGGGCACCTCGCCATGGCAGGCACCACAGAATTTACAGGGTTCACGATGAGCCCCACGATCGCCTCGAGCAAGAGGTTGAAAGCACTCAGATCTCAGCCCTTCTGAGAGAAGCTTCATGAAGGTACTCAACTGAAGCATTGAGCTATGTTCGTCTATATTAGGTTGGAGGTTATCTGCAGTAGGTTGGAGGCCCAATATATTATTTGGCTCTTGAGACTCTTGAGCTATGCTTGGTGGGTTGAAGTGTGGGCATGGCTGAAGACTCAAGACAACCGCTGACCACGTATCGCACCTTGCCTCTGGGCATCGCTTTGCACATGCCTCCACAACCTCAAAAAGCGAGGTCGGAAAAGCTGTGGAAGGATGACTTGAAGAACCGCTTTCTAACAAAGATTTATGAAAAGAAGGTGTCCACAAATACCGCAAAACGAATCAAATTCAGACCAGCCTCCCTAGGACATTCACTCTGACTTTTCAACTTCAGCTCGTTGACTTTCTTCAACTGAGCTCCGCTGCTAGCTTTGCGATTCCCGCGTTCACTTGAAGCAAGTCCTCAAGGCACTTTTGTCTGTCGGGCTTGAAACGGAAATTGAGACCGGCTTTATAACGGTGACCGCAGGTGTCTGAGATCATACGCGTCTGGACATTTGGAAAGGAACAAGAACGCTACTAGGAGCAAAGGGCATCGCTACTAGGAGCAAGGACGCTACTAGGGGCTCCTGGCCTTACTACTAGGAACAAGAACGCTACTAGGAGCAACTTTCCAAGCTTGGGCATGTTTGGAGAAACACTCACACTCCTTCCGGCTCTGTCCGGGCTTCCGAGGAACTCCTTTCCGCTCGGAAGCAGAAGCGAAGAAACAACACAACGACGAAACCAAGCATTCTGAAACCAAAACCAAGCGATGGCCTCCAACCTAAAAGGAATTGCCTCGGACCTAATGGCGATATTTCTCCTACATTCAGGAAAGAACTTATTGGAGTCCACAATTTAGCAAAACATTATGATTAGCATGCTTGCAAATGCTTGCATTCTTGTTTGTGGCAAGAAGTTATATATGTCGGTCTAAGACATTACAGATGTCAGATTGCAGGTCCGGAAGCATCGGCAAGCAGTGTCAAAAGCACGTCGTTTCGTCCGGATGCTGCGGACTTTGAGACTTAATGTCCTGTGTCTGGTTTGGTTGCTCTGAGATTTTCCATGTGGGCCGCTTCTTGATTCATACAACCTCGCAGCTTTCATAGTGCTTTGTGTTCCGTCTCCGAGAAGCCTGCACATGCATAACACAAACGTGCTACCGCATCATCACCTTTCTTCAAATAGAACTGCTGAATAGTGCTGCCGGTAGGTACAAACAAAATGTGGTTGTCAAAATGAACGCTGGCAGATCGTTCCAAGCCATTCCTTGCTCAGTAGTTCGCAATTCATTAAGGCGAAGCTAGTGGCAGGGCTAGCGCCAAATTTCTGCACCAACGGAGCGCTGGGCAAAGCCGCTGGTGGCGCTCACCTACCTCTTTTTTCCTAGCGCCGTGCTTGGGGAATGGCGCTATTCCTTGGGTGCCAATTCTAGCAAATTCGTTTGTTGTTCAAGCAACATGATGCAACCAAGTAGACTCGAGAAAGTGAACACTACTTTTGATACTCATCTAAATTTACTTTGATGACGCAACCAACTCAATGCTCAATATATTGGCTGGCCTGCAGTGACAAGCACCAGTGAACAGCCCTCCAAGCAGGCTGCCGGCAAGTCTTTCACCGGTCTTGCCTGGTTCAAGGACAAAGCACGAGTGCAACACCAAGTGCAACACCAAGTGCATCTTATGCATATTCCACATAGTACAGGCTGGCCTGAGCAGGCAGGGAATAGGCTTTGACTCTGCATGGAAACCTGAGTCGAAGAATGAGGCATCCCAGTTCCAATGCAGGCGATCAGGCGTTTTCCACTGCAGGCGATTTCCTTCTGGGCTGGGAACTCGAGATGGGACAGGTCAGTGGCCACCCCTTCTGCAGGGACCATGCCGCCCTGAACAGCTCGGAACTGATCTCGGACTGGCGATTTCCATGTCTGCGTCGTGTTTCTTTTAGCCCGTGGCCCTGCCTCCTGAACTGCTTAATTAAGTACGCGCCTACGTAGTTAAGTACGAGCGACTAGCTTGCTACTAGGAGAAGTTCGCTCCTAACTAAAAAGCAGTATAGATCACGCTAATGATTTGGTTCCTAGATTTTTTGGGAAACCCTCTTAGAATTTGTCAGAGCAAACAATTGTCACAAATGTCACAATGACAGTGTAAAAGATTCTTCAGTCAGAATCTCTCAGACAGAGACATGCAGAGACAAACAGTGAGGGACTGAGACAGTTGGCACCTCCAGATCATAGACAGAGAGCTCCTTGACCATGGTGTTTGTAGCCATGAGAAGTGCCAACTGCTGACCTGCCACTTGTGCTCTTTTCTATTCCTTGCCGAACAAAAAATAAAGGTTAGGAAGTCTTGTTGAAGTAAATTGGTCAAAACAAGAGCTTGAAGCTATGTCTGGCCTATGCTGGTTGCACCGCCGCATATGCAAACTTTGAAGCTCTCCTGGGAAGTCAGGCCTTCTAGACTTATAATATCAAGAGAAAACTCCTCTGCGGATTCCGCACTCTTGTTGCAAAAGTCAGTTCCAGTACATTCAGCTGCTGTGATACTTTGAGTCCCAGTACCATCTCCCATGTCGAAATTCTATCTTATATATCGTCTTGCACATCTCTTGGGTGGCACAGGTAGCCAAAAATCATGTGTATCATATGATACGATGCAACACATAAATGTGTAAACACATTACGTATAAAAAACGGTCCTGGCATTGCTACTAGGAGCAAGGACGCTACTAGGGGCTCCTGGCCGTACTACTAGGAGCAACCTGGCTACTAGGAGCAAGGATGCTACTAGGAGCAAAGGTGGACCCTGAATGCACTTGACCTTCTCACGCTGTCCTTCTTGGGGATGCCGAAGCCTTCGAAACATTGGCAATTCCCCATTGGCTTCGCATCAAGGATGAAGCCAAAGCTGGCACCCCTCGTAGAATCAAAAAATGAAATGAGCCAGCGCTTCGAGCTTTCAAGCTGGATTCAATTGCTTCAAGCTTTCAAGTTGGACTCATCTTGTCGTTCCCACTCACTTTACCTATGACACTCATGCGCAAGATCTATCTGCGCCTGCCTTGCATTCCAGTCCCAAGCAAGAGTCCGCATGTTTTGTCACGATATGGTATTGAAGGCAACTTGGAAATCCTGGAAACCGTGTCGTCTACATCCTGACGAGCAGAAAGGTTGACAGAAAGTCTCAGCCCGACATTGGGACCAAGCCTCAATCCGGAGGCCAGAGTTCGTGAACATCGTCATCTGTGCAAGGTGTTTTCGCTGTTTCAACTATGTATGAATTGTGTCGAGTATGGCGAGTGGAAGCAGTACATTGCACAATTGACTCTGTCTCTGTACAGGCAAACCGGCTCTCCCTCATCTTCAACACCCGTTTTGTCCAACTGTACACTGCTGAGCCAAAGTGGCAGGCTTAGCTTCACGTCTTGCACTCCCAATTCAAACATCCTCAGTAGATTCGGATTCACCTGCAGCTCGTACATGTTCACAGCATGGCAATCACTGCGACTGAATAGCATCTAATAGCATGAGTATCACATCACTTCTGATAATGTGGGGCACAGTGTGGCTTTGGCGGTTGCTTTTTGTTTGTATTTGTTTTGGTTGTGTGCACTGATGACTCTTTGTCTGCTCCTGAATATTGACGAAATGTGATACTCTGGCCGGCACAATACCTTGTATTTGCTACTGGGCTTAAACCCGCGCGTGTAGTGAAACTGATTTTTCATACGGTCCTTTGGGTAAAAACACACACACGCACACACACTTAGATCCATGCTCGCAAGAGCGAAATCAGTTTGGAAATTCCCGGGAGTTAGTTACTGCATTAGCCATCGAGAACCCTCAACCCAAAAATGAAAAGGGCCCTGCTCGCAACGGAACGGTCATAAAGTCAATCTGAACCGTATGGTTTACATCATTCGCAAGTAAGAGTTCAAAGGCAGGTACACAGTCAGACATCTCTGACCGCTTCCCATGACACCACTAGCTTCATCCAGCGTTGTGATGTCACGTGCTGGCCCCCCTGCTGAGCTGTACAACGCTGAAGTAAGGGAAAAGTAGAACGAATTAGGTCAGTGATTTAAAATTAGATACTGTGGTCAAGTTCCTTGGAGACAGGAGTTGACACACACACTCAGCCGTACCGGCGCTCCCTGATCTGATTTTGCCGCACGCTAAACGAACACACTCGCGAGGTATGTGCCCTTTTTGGGCATAGAGGTTAGCCAAATGCACAAGCGCCTGCGCAGCTGGTGGGAAGGTATACCGTTTAATCAAATGTGCTCGTGAAACAAGCCCGGAAAGACGAAGCCTCTGGCTGCCGGCCGAGGCGTGAGATTGTGTTGAAGCTCGGCCCATGAGTGTTCGATGAGGGCGATGGCAACGTTGCAAAGGGCAGGTGAGAGTTGGGAACCAATACCGGCTCCTCTGGTTTGTTGGTAAAATGTGGTACAGGCTTGAAAAATGCACGTGTTGAGAGCAATGCAAACAATGTGTGGTATGTCGTGGGTGTCAATGGCGCATTGAGTAGGATGCGTGCGGTGATGTCTGCCAATGTGATGCGCGTATCGGGGGGTTAGGGGGGAGGGGGGGTTTGGTGGGGGGCTAATGATGTTCATGTCCTGCGCATTTCGGACCGACTGTGATGATGATGATGATGATGATGATGATGATGATGATGATGATGATGCTGGAGGATGAAAAGCGCGCGTTTTATTTGCGCGAAACCACCGTTTCGCAGTTGGATGTGAAAATCGCAACGAGTGTTTGCTTGTTTTCATGTACTACATGCTGCAACAAACCTTTCACATCAATGCAAAACACAGTCACACACCGGATATTCGTCATCATTAACCACGTGAAGATTTGACAAACGTCTGCAACCACACGCGCGGAAACGAGCCCGGCGGGTTGTATTTGTCCAACGGCAGTCTGCAAACGAAGCAAGTGGATCACCACTATATTGTTGCTTGTGCATCTTATTTTATTCAAGAAGCCAAGAAGGCTGAAGAAAAGTTGATTGTTTTTGTGTATACATATATATATATATAGACTCAATTGGTGAAAAGGAATCACCTCCGACCTGCCTTCTAACTCGGCTCTTTCGGACTGCACTCCAAACCTGAAAGACAGTGACTTGTTATGTTCATTTCGAGTCCACTCTTTTTCAAGTCTGAGACAAAACACAATGTGAAGAGATAAGAAGAAAAAAGGGTTCCTTGCCCTCCGACTCGTTTTCTATTTCACTGTCAGACTTGTGGCTTCTGTTTCAGCCCTCTCTTTGAGAAAGCGACAAGGGCTGATGCAGCCCTGCACAAAGTGAGGCCACGAGAAGCCAGCCCAGCGAGCCCGTCACAGCGAGCTTGGGCCAATGGCCTCCCAAAGCTCCACTTGACTGGTTTAATTCACTCAATTCAGTTGATTCACGAGCAAAGCTGATTCAAACCGCACAATGCACCAAGCTGCTTGACATAGTTGGCAACAGTAGCAGTCCCAGGATGGATCCCAGCCCTCGGGCTGAGGCCAGGAAAGCAAAAGCACTGCCTGCGCGCTCTCTGTACCTAGGCAAACCGAAGCACATTTCAACATCTTTGAAGTGGTCATGTGTTCAACGAAATCCGACCTAATAGCGATGGCCTCCAACCTACTGGCGAGGGCCTCGAACCTAATAGCGACGGCCTCCAACCTAATAGCGATGGCCTCCAACCAAAGAGTGATGGCCTCCAACCCAAGAGCGATGGCCTCCAACCTAGTAGCGATGGCCTCCGACCTACTAGCGATGGCCTCCAACTTCCAACCTACTTGCGATGGCCTCCAACCTACTAGCGATGGCCTCTGTGAATTTGGTGTCATCTGTTTGACCAAAGATCTATTCCTCAACGACTCAACGACCTTACTGGGCTCAAGACGTGCCCTGATATCCGGTAGTTCATGCTCTCGACATCGCTCAGCCATAGCGTGTCAGAAACCAGCGCGCTCTTTGTTGGTGGTTGTGTGATCAGGGTGGACAGTGTTCGGTGAGTTGGGTTGGGCCTCCGCTGCCCTATTTACATGGTAGCGGGGCTGGACGCTCCTCGGCGTGGACATTGTTTGGGGCTATGCGTATTCCAAAGGAATATGAAGGGATTGTGGACTCTAAATTTCCATGGTGGGATGGCAATTGGAGTTCCTATGAAGACTACAAGACTCGGGTTGAGTTGAGAGCAGATGCGTGCAAGGAGGACGACTTACCGTTTCTAGGACCCAGACTCGCATCCAACCTAGTGGGCAAGGCATTTGACACGTTGGGTGAGATCAAGCGTGATCAGTTGAAGAAGCCGCAGGGGTGGCATTATTTGCTGACATTTTTGGAGGACCAACGTGGCCGTGCCAAAGTGGACATACTCGGTGATACGTTTACAGAGTTTTTCCTGAGGAAAGATGCTTGCCGTCGCGATGGCGAGGAGATCAATGACTACGAGAACCGCTTCAAGACATTGATGAGGCGGATGGAGAAAGCTCTGGCAGAGACCAATTCGACTGCCAAGATGCCACCTGAGGTGTACGGGTGGTTCTTATTGAATGTGTTCATGAGGATGTCACCATCGGATGCAGCAAACATTCGTGGCAAGGCGAGTTCATACAAAGTTGAAGATGCGTTGACCGCCTTGCGATTGATGTGGAGCAGTGGAGGCCTAGGAAGTCGAGATGCAGAGCTTCGACCCAAGAAGACACAGTCCGGACATGCCTATCATCAAGATGAAGGGCAGCATCAACAAGAGTTAGCACAGGAGACAGAGGAGATGGACGAGATCTACGAGTTGGAGGAGTGGTGCGATGATGCCACAGCCGATCTTTTGGCAAATACAGAAGACAATGCAGAGATTCTTGCCAACTTCAAGGAAGCTCGGAGAGCCTTGGATCAGGCAAGAACAGCTCGTGGATTCTATCCGGTGCGACCACCGGGACAATCACAGTTCAAGGGTAAGGCAAGTCAGTCAACGAAGGTGTACACAAAGAGAGAGTCCTATACATCTGACGCTGACAAGACCTGTCTCCGTTGTGGAAAGAAAGGCCATACAGCTCGCCGTTGTCCCCAGAGACCGACAAGCAGTGGGAGCACATCCATTGGTTATGTGGGTTGGTGTGAAGCGTGCGAGAAAAGTGAACCATTGGCACAACCGGAGGTTCCCATGTTGACCACTTGTGCAGATCCGGAGGATCACATGGTGACCACAGTGCCATCACAGGTTGTTGTTGGAGAGAAAACACCCATCACCGGAGGAGGTCACTTGTGATCCCAAGTGGGTGTTGTGCTCTCAGGAGGCGACGGCCGGTCATGTGTTGGCATTGCATTCATCAGAGTTGCGAGGCAAAGCAATTGTTGACTCAGGTGCTTCAGACAACATTGTTGGAGCAGAGACATTGCAGGACCTTGCAGACTGCCTTGAGGAGTTGGATTTCGCAGCAGACCAAGAGATCAAGGTGGACCGACAGATTCACAAACGATTCATCTTTGGAAACGGGGAATCATCAGCTGGATTGGGACTGTCTCATGTGAATGCGGGGATCTGTGGAAGAGAGGTGACAATCCAGTCACACCTGGTGGAAGGGAAGACGCCCTTTTGTTGTCGTCGAAGTTTCTGTATGACATGGACGTGACGATCAACTTTCGATCAGGAAAGGCCGTCTTCAAGGCCCTGAGCCCTCATCAGGTCCAGCTGGAACGGACAGAAAGCAACCATTTGCTGTTTCCATTGACCGCATTTTCTGGGCATCACAACGCCTTAGAGACACTCTTTGTGAAAGACACGGACTTCGACGGGGACGTCCACATCTTGAGCCGGAGTGACCCCGACTTGCCGGAACAGCCGGCCAGTGACCGTAGGACTGAGGCCTTCGCTGAGGCCACCACTGGCGATCAGGGTACGGTGGACGAGTAGGAACAGCTCCACCAAGGCTCAAATGGACAAGCTGG